GATTACATCCACGAGAGATTGCTATTGCACTTGTGGTTCAAACTCAGAACGAGAAAATTCTGTTTACTTTAAGATCTGTCGAATAATGTATTTCATATTTTTACTTTCTTCGATTAAAATGGTCAACGATGATAGAAGATTTATTTGATTGTTAATAGAATGAGTTGAAATTCGTATGCAGTATGTACCAATCCGCAATCAGTGAACTTTATAATTCTGGTTATTTTATGACCATTACAAATAATTTCGGTAAATTTGAGCCCGGTTGTTTATGAACGACGATGGCCACATCGGAATTATAAAACGCTGCAAACATAATTTATTCTAAACATGGTCTGTCCCTTGAGCCGGAGAACTGCATTTGATTCCAGTTATTTGTGATCTGGTACAGATGTATTTAGGTAATCCCCTCCCTATATGTTTAGCCCTTTCTTTGTTACTGACATTCACCTGTTTTTATTCATCAACTGTATTCATCCTAATATCTCAGACACTAAAGATGAATGCACAATTGAAGGTTTACAACTTGCTTTTACATGCGTATAACTTTGAACTTTTTAACAAAAACTGAATGATTGTCATGAGTGTCGTAGGAAGTGGTATCCCGAGCTGTTCGAGGATGTGACTATCGCTTTTGTAAAGTTAAGCGTCACCTGTCGAGAAACGAATTGATGGCTATTTAGATGGTCAATGTTTGGATTAGCCCGTTCGTCTATTCACACGCACCAGTCACTGTTGATAATGATGTTCGGTGTGAGTTTCCCTACTTGGGAGATCGTTAATTTCCCATTATTTAAATGCATTTAAATTGATGGCTATATTTTAATTTAATGTTCGTTCACATTTGTGCAATTTGTGATGTTTCCGTCGTATACTTATGGTTTTTAGTTGTTGTCGTTTGCCAGATAAAACTCACAGTGTCCTCAGACATCGCCACTGATCGTTCCCGACCACCTAGTCTCTATCTGAGGGGCAGTTTTGCAATCCCTGATTCATATAAAATGATAGATCTCCATTTGTCGTAGAAATGTTCTGATTCGGAGCGATGTAAAACAATTTTTGAAAGGTGTGTTTGAAAAGTACAAAATCCTCAGATTTTTGTTCCTCACTCCCTAGTTATAGGTGAGACTATGGATGAATCAATAAAAGCGCTTTCATGTCAATGCGCACACGGTAGCATTAAAGTAGTTTTATGTTTCTTTTCTACACGTCACTGCTGCCTGTGATATATATATATATATATGTATATATATAAATATATATATATATATTACACCGGCTTGTAGACAAGCATGGTACCAACGCCACAACAAGAAGAACAATAGCAGGACACAGGTGGATTGGGATACAGAACAAATTGGAAAGGTGAAACAGTTCAAATGGAAAATGTTAAATAACTGGAATAACCAAATATTTGTTGTGTGTTTCACCGTACACTATTAGGATTTTGTTTTCTGTTGTTCTATTTACAGACCCGTATCGATGTATATGGCTACGATTACGAAAAAGAAAACAACATTCACTCAAATGTAAGTTTTCTGATCTGCCATGCAATGAACGGAGAGTGTGAGAGATAAATAATGGTTCAACCCAAGCAGCAAATACGGTTACTTCTTTTCGAATAGCTAGACCAGTCTATAGATTGGATTGATTACCAATATCAGTCCAATAATCAGTCTTCTGAACACTTATTTATTGATCAACTTGGGTTTTCATTTTGCTAACTTTCACGTCACATGATTCACTGGGTCGGTTTGGTCGACAGAGTTGAAATCGGTGAAGCCAAGGTTAATAGTTTTCCACATTGGGTTAGGCGATTAGACGCCATAATCCATCAGGCACAAATTAACCGGATGATTAACACTGTCTGTACGTGGAACAGGCTCCACAGAACAGTGGTTTCGTTGAATTTAAACAACTGCCTATCGGAAAGTTCAGGTATTTTACCAAATTAGCTCACATTTGGTTTTATTTACCGGATAAAGATATCAAGATAAATAAAATAACTGAACATTATACACCATAACGTGATACTTGTATTGCGTGAACTAAACGATCGCATAGTTTAAAGATCGCTGTGCCCAATATTTGATTAGTTGTGCTAAATGTGGGCACTTTAGATCACAAATTGAGCTTTTCACGCAGTGCAATGCTTACATCCTGCTGACTTTCATGATCACGTAATTGATTGAAAACCCACCAAAATATTCAATTTCATCTAAAATCTATCAACTACTAGTCCCGAATATCTCCTCTCATATATATATATATATATAT